TTCCAGCTCCATCCCCAGTGGGGAACGTGCAGGATGTAGCCAACCAATGATTCCCTCTCATCATTGATTTCTGTCTCTCTCCCCCTTTCTCTTCCTCTCTGAAACCAGTAAAAATGTTTTTTAAAAATCACAGACCTATTAACTAATTAGAAACAAATACTCATCTTAAGATCCTTAACTGAAAAATATATGATTTACAGTATTTACCAGCTGATATTATCATCTATACTAATAAAAGGGTAATATGCTAACTAGACTGGGGACCTTCTGGACAAAGCCATGGTGGCAGGGCTGAGGCAGAGGTGGTTAGAAGGGCAATCAGGCTAGCGGGGAGGGGGGGGGGGGACCGAGCAGGTCAGCTGGGGAGGGGGGGCAGTTGAGGGCGAGCAGGTTGGCTGGGGGGGGCAGTTGGGGGCAAGCAGGTTGGCTGGGGGGGGGGGGCAGTTGGGGGCAAACTGGTCGGCTGGAGGGGGCCGGCAGGGGGTGGGGAGGGGGCAATTGGGGGAGAGTAGGCTGGTAGGCAGAGTGGTTAGGGGCAATCAGGCAGGCAGGCAGGCAGATGAGCAGTTAGGAGCCAGCGATCCTGGATTGCGAGAGGGATGTCCGAGACTGGAGAGGGTGCAGGTGGGGCTGAGGGACACCCCTTCCCTCCGCAACATGCACGAATTTCATGCACCGGGCCACTAGTTAAGCTATAAAAGGATATCAACAGACATTTTTCTTCCTGAAGCTGGTTGATTTCACATTATCCTAGCTTTGGATACTTTCAGAAATATTTGCCCAAGATTTAAATAATTCCCCAAAATATAAGGGGAAAAATTTCAAGTCATTTCTGCACTTCCATTTCAAAAAGATAATATAATCATCAGGAAACACACGTATTCCACAAAGCAGTACTCCCCCCAAATGGAATAACAATGACGTCACATCCTTCTCCCAGGGATGTAAAGCTAACATCAAATTCTCTATCCTCCAAACTTTCCTCCCTCTCCAAATAGAGACCTAGAAAAACACGACATATAAAAAATGCATAGCACTTCAAGAACATGCACTTTTTTTTTTACCCATTCCTGGGGACTTAAGAGGCCAACAGATTAGCTAATTCGTATTTTACATAATGTTCACATAGCGTGATTATTCCCACCTTAAAAACAATTTACACATGCATGCTGAGGAGGGAAATTAGGGCCCTTCCATAATTCACGTAGTCAACAGGCCATCACTGAGGTCTACGACATAACCAACCCCTTCGCTAACGAAAAGGAGAAAAGGAGATGGGTTCACGGACGGAGCCTGCCCAATAAGCTACTCCTATCCTAAGACGACTGTGAAATGAGACATGAAGCCCTCGTCTTTCTCTAACAGCATCCTTCCCAGGCCCTGGAACGAGACTGCCAAGGCCTCTCTGGACAACATCCCTTTCATCTCCTATATTCCAAAAGAAAAATATCCGCGTCGTCCTGCGACCATCGACGCCCGCACTCCATCCCCCACCCACTCTTTCTGCATCTCCACCAGCAACAACCTCCCCCTCCCCCTCCCCCTCCCCAACACACACACATCCTTCACCCTGGATCTGTCCCAGGCACACACACCCCCAAAAACACTCCCTCTCCTTCCCCGGTCACCAGGACTCAGGGGCCCGAGACCCTCAGTGCGATCGGCCCGCCCTCACAGGCGGGAAAATGGCGGAAGGCGCAGGGGAGCCGCGGGCCGCGCAGAGGTGGTGAGTGGGTAGGTGGGGGGCGAGGGGGCGGGGGCAGGACAGGGCTCTCCGCCTCATCGCACCCACCTCAGGTGACAGCCACGGACTAGGGCGCGGCGAGCCCGGGCGAGCAGAGGCAGGAGGCCCCGAGAAGACGGAAAACGGAGGGCGCGCGGGACCGCACCGGAGCGGGGGATGGGAAGCGGACAGCGACCAGGCAGCCCAAGAGTCACCCAGATAAGGGCTCCAGTGACCGTAACCCGGAAGCACTGGACACGCACTGGAAAGGACGTCACCCTCCTCGCGGCGTCTAGGGCCAGCAGCCTAGGAATATGCGCATGCGCCTGCGTCCGTCAGCGCCCCCTGCGTCCCGCCCGCCTCCCGGCTCCCCAGGCCGCGGCGCTAACGAGCTGCACTGCGGCTGCGCCCGCCGCCCTCCCGGCGGGGAGCCCCGCTCCGCCCCGCCCCCCCACTTCCTGGGTCGTGGGTCGCGGCTTGGCTTCGGGCTGTTGTGACGCACCGCTCTGATCTTCTACTGGCCGGCCGGCAGGAAAGTTCTGGAACTCCCTTGAGTCCCCTTGTCGAGAGTTACCGACTTTTCGTAGATGTCTCTGTGTTTAGACGACGTAATTCCTTTCATTCTTTGAGCCAAGGGCCTAGGCTCAGCGGTGTGAAGGAGACATTGTCACGCATGCGCCCTTGGCTGGCTGGCAGACTGTCTTGAGTCTAGTTCAGTAGTTCTCAACCTTGGCTGCATATTAGAATCACGTGGGAATCTTTTTTTTTTTTTAATTTTATTGATTTTTTACAGAGAGGAAGGGAGAGGGATAGAGAGTTAGAAACATCGATCAGCTGCCTCCTGCACACCCCCCACTGGGGATGTGCCCACAACTAAGGTACATGCCCTTGACCGGAACCAAACCTGGGACCCTTCAGTCTGCAGGCCGAGGCTCTATCCACTGAGCCAAACCGGTTAGGGCGACCTGGGAATCTTTTTAAAATCCTGATTTCTGGGCCTCATCCTCTGGAAATTCTGTTTCTTTGTTACTAATGTTGTGGCCCCACCCCTAACAAAGAAACAGAATTTCCGGAGGATGAGGCCCAGAAATCAGGGTTTTAAAAAGATTCCCAGGTGATTCTAATGTGCAACCCAGGTTGAGCACCACTGATCTAGAACCTCGAGCGTCAGCTGTCCGAGCCGCAGGTGGTTCTCATCGGAAAAATGGAAGTAACGCCTACCTCATGGGAGTTTAGGATTAAAGCAACACATCCAATAAGGAGCTGAAGCACTCGGATGCTCTCCACTAATGGGAGAGTGTATATTTGAATGTGGGCCTTCTGCCTTCTGCTCCTCAGACGTCATGCGGCCACATCCAGCCACCATGCATTCCTTTGTTCATCCTACAAATATGAGTGCCTGCTGGGAGCCAGATACTTAAAGTTATTGGCGACTTAGCCCTACCCGTTTGTGGCAGCAACTCCTAACGGCCTCTCCGGATTTCTTCTCCCTTGTCCAGCGCCTCTGCCACTATCCTCGTTTCGTCTATCATTGCCCCTGGAACTGCCCCAAATGTATTTCCCCACAGATGTGGTTAAGCGAGAGAGCCTATGGTGATCCATCTCGGGCACAAACCCAGTCCTGAGGTTCCTCCTTAGAGCCTTTTGGTCGTTCCCATCGTGCACCGAATACAAGGCCCTTCGTGGCTGGGCCTCTATTGTAGCGTCCATCATTCAGAAACACACGTGCACCTGTGCGCTGTCCTGTCGCCCTTCCGCCCACCCTCTTCCCTGTCTTGTCAACGCTATTCATTTTTCAAAATCCTGCCTTTATAGTACCTCCTTTGTGAAACCTTCTCAGAAACACCCCCCGGAGAGTTAATCACTCCTTCCTGGCACCTCTTTGTACATACTTTGGTCACTGCAGTGTCTACTGTGTTCTGCATCGTGCTCTGTCTGCCTATGCCTGTCTGCATCACAGAACTCCTTTAGGACAGAGACCTTGGCTTCTAAATCTTCACGCTCCAAGTAGATCCCCAAGATAATCGATATTAGTCATTAGTATTCATTCTGTTGCTAAGCTGGTTCTGAGCTCAGGGCCTTTGCAATTGCTCTTCCTCTGTATGCTCACATGGCTTCTTGTCTCGGGTTGCGGCTGATGTCACCTGAGGCACTTTGTTACATAGGCCTTCCTTGATCACCCAATTACAATAGTACCCCGTCACTCTTCATGTGACCTTGTTTGTTTTCATAGCACTTATCTTGATCTAAAACAATTATTTGTTTTATTCTCTCTCTTTCTCTCTCTCCAACCCCCCACCCCACACTAAAATAAAAGCCGTGAGAGTAGGAGTCTGACATCAAAATGATTGGCACATAGTATGAAATCAATAAACGTTTCTTTAATTTGTTGAGTAAATGTTTACAAGAGAAGAAATAAAAAGAAGAAAATTAGAAGACATATGGGATGAGCTTTATGCCAAAGCAAAACCTGTTCTTTTCTTTGCTCTCTGACTAGATTATAAGATTCCAGAATTCAATTATTCTTTATATTTACTGAGCCGGGCCTACCATGTGGCACATGGTAGATACTGGTGAGTATATTTTCTGTTGCCCACATATTTCTTAGCAACCAAGTTAATAAATTGGATTTCTATTGATGAAAGGGTATAGTGATCTTTCTGCAGGAACAAATAAAATCCTAAACATTTAAGGTGAACTCATTTTCTGTGCTGGCATTTAGAGGTATTGAGTCTATTAGTAATTAGGCAATGCAACAGTCAAAGAATTTAAACATAAATTAGTAAGGTCCAAACTGGAAGTTGATTCACATTTGATAGAGGCTACTGGATTTATGAGCCAATGCAGACCAATGTGCTTTAATTTTGAACTGTGAGATCACCAGAAATCAGTCTACCTGGGTTAAATTAAATCAACTCACTTCAAAATGCCTCCACTAAATTAAAATCTAACGAAATGTTATAAGAAATGCCCACTTGTTAGACCTAACTTTAAAAAAGTTAATTATAAAGGAATTATTTAGGGTACTCATTAATCCATATAAGGAATTGTCAATGTTGACAAGGACTGAGAACTATCTGTTAAATATAGCAATAAGCTTATTTTTAATTTTGGCAAAAGTAGTTTCATTAAAACTTAGATTATAATGGGATGAGAAAAGAATGATTGGGAATAATGTGGTGGAAAGTATAGACTATTCTTTTTTAATTTTATGTACAAAGAGATCGCATTCTGTCATAAGGTAGATGTCTTGAATGACCCATTCATGGACGTTCACTTAGTCCAACGTAATGAAGCCTATGTCCTTGGGGAACTGACAGAAACACTGGAGGCACATGTAGAAGCCATATTTCCGGATCAGACCCTGGCATCTCGAGCAGACACAGCAAGAATGAGAACCCTGGCTGCATTTCCTCGGATGGCTCCAGTAGAGTTGCTGGTGACCCATCTTGCTCTCTCTGTAGCAACGAGGCAAAAGGCAAGTATAAACTATTCTTTACAAAAGCTTAGCTGTTTGGTGAAAGAAAGACATAGAGTGGAGTCTGAGTGGAAAAAAGGAATAGATGAAGGTTAGTTTTGTTTTTTAATTCCATAGAGTCTTTTTAAAAATATTTATTGATTGATTGATTTTAAAGAGAGAGGGAAGGAAAGAGAGAAATATCGATTTTGTTTTTCCACTCACTTATGCATTCATTGGTTGATGCTTATATGTGCCCTGACCAGGGATGGAAAATGCAACCTTAGCGTATAGGACAATGCTCTAACCCAGTGGTCAGCAAACTCAGTAGTCAACAGAGCCAAATATCAACAGTACAACGATTGAAATTTCTTTTGAAAGCCAAATTTTTTAAGCTTAAACTATATAGGTAGGTACATTGTTATTAACTTAACTAGGGTACTCCTAAGGCTTAGGAAGAGCCACACTCAAGGGGCCAAAGAGCTGCATGTGGCTCGGGAGCCACAGTTTGCCGACCACTGCTCTAACCAACTGAGCTACCTGGCTAGGGCCTAATTCTATAGAGCCTTGACAGTAATTGTCAAGGAGAAGAACCAGTAAAGAGAAGAGTTGAAAATATGGGAATGAGAAGGGATAATTAATAGCAAAAGGCACATTTCCCAGCTAGTGTTCCATGCGTGTGCCATAAGCCATTGATTCACTCAGCCTTTGGGATGAGCCTTGGGCAGAGCTCCCAGGCCAGTTGCCTGCAGCTTGAACAACCTTCTTTGAAGTCCTCTGAAGGTCGCTTGCAGGAAAGAAAGCCTAATGGCATGCCCATATATTCCACAGGTGATGAGAACCATGGGCAACACTCAGCTCTTCTCGACAGTTAAATGTCAGAAAATTCAGCCCAAGCGCTCGTTGCTGTCCATTGTGGGCTAGGATGCCTTGGGGTTGCCGGAGATATTTATGTTCTGGAGCCTGGCAGGCATGCCACAGTACAGCTGCTAGGGTGGAGACACAAGGAGACAGGACAGAGGCTCCTCATAGGTGCAACTCCCGGGAATGGCCCCAGGGAGCAGCCCCACATCCCAGTCTTCATGTTAATTGGACATGTCTGGCCTTTTGTAGTTGATATGTTCTTTTCAAGGTGTTCAGGCCACATGCACCTCTGAAGTTATGCATGGGTATATTTTCCTGGGGCTTGCTTTGTTTTCCCTTTTACAGCAAAAAAGATGAAGAGAAGCATTAATAAAATGAAGGGCGCATGTCTCTGTATTAAAAGGGGTCAATTAATATCTCTGAGATTTTAAGTCATAAAAAGTTCTAAGAAAGCACCCAGCTCAGGGTCCAGCACTTAGTTTACATGCAGTAAATATGAGGTTGTTTTTTGTGTTTTTTTTTTAATTTTCTTGAAGATCTGAAGTACTGGAAAGGAAGTTGAAGAGACAGAGATAGAGAGAGATAAGCATACAGGTGATGTAGCCTAGATTGTAAATTCCTGATCAACAACCACAAATAGTTCTCCAGCTTTCTAATTAAAATTTAAAACAAGGAGTTTATTTTTAAGAGCAATATGAGGCTTCCAACGACAAAAGAGTTCAGTATTAATCAATGCTGTTTGGGCGTTGATAAATGCCAATTGCATTAGTTCTTTGTTCTTTCATTAATCTCAGCTCAATCTCCAGGATCCCGAGAGTTGTGTTCAAACATGAATCTGTCTGCTTTGTTGTAACTATGCAGAGAGTCAACTCTTTGGTTGGTTAGAGAAGGAGAATTTTTTCCACATTTTGGTGACTCTCTTTTGCTGAGAATCTTTTCACTACAGTGAACATTTGAAAACAAAGACTTTCTGAATAGCCATCCCTGCTTCTCTTTCTTGTATGACAGCTTCTTTTGCAGACAGAAGTGGGGGTGGGGGGGGCATCCTCCACAGGAGGTGACCCTAACTGCAGTGCTCCTGGATCTGTCAATCAACCAGAGAACCATCTGTCCCACTTTAGATTTCAGGAGCCATCTTGCACATCTGCTGTGCCTTTTCTAATGTCACTTATAGAACCCACTGAAAGCTGTTAGATGAATTAAGGGAACCAGAGTGCAGCTGCATGTAGCTGATTTTGAATTTTTTGCAGCTGGGTCTTACACATCACTCTCAGTTTTGAAATTATTTTTTATGAGATTAAAACCACAAAGTGAATTATTCACTTTATAATAATAACTCCTAAGAGACTGGGCCTTCAAATTCTGTTCTCTGAAAAATTTAAAAATATATATTTTAACAACTCGCACCAAATGTTTAAAATTCAAGCCTAGAAGTGGTAATTAATAATACCTAACATTCGTTGTGCACGTACTATGAGTCAAGCACTGTTCTAAACATTTTAGTACAATATTGCATGAAATCCTCATAACTACCCTATAGTGAGTAGGTACTATTACTATCCTCACTTTATGAGGGATTTGAGGTACAGGGAGGTTGAGTAACTTACTCAAGGTCACATAGCTAATAAGTGAGTCAGGTTTTGAATCTAGCCCATGATCTAAAGCAATGCCTCGCAAAGTTTAAAGTGCTTACAAATCACCTGGAGATTTGTTTAGAAAGCAGATTCTAATGATTGGGTCTGAGGTGAGGACTGAAATGCTGCATGTGTAACAAACTCCCTGTTGAAGCCAATGCTGCTATTTTAAGATCACTTTTGAATAGCAAGGGTCTACCACACACTGGTTCTCAACTTGGTTACATATTAGAATCACCGGGACAGATTCTTAAAAATAATGAGGCTCAGGTCTCATCTCAAACTAATTCAAGCAGAATCTTTGAATGTGGAGTCTGAGCAGGGAAGAAACTAGGGGTGGGGATGGAGCATTAAAAGTGACCTAAAGTTATCGTAAAGTATATGATTGTCTAAACACTGTGCTGTACACCTGAAACTAATACAAAATAATATTGAATGTAAACTGTAACTGGAAAAAAAAATTAGAAAGCAAAAAAGTGACAAGTTAATTTTAAAAACAAAGTTTTATTTATTTTAGAGAAGAAGGGAGGGGGATAGAGAGATAGAAACATTGATCAGCTGCCTCCTGCACGCCCCCTACTGGAGATCAAGACTGAAACCCAAGCTCTAGCTGGTTTCGCTCAGTGGATAGAGCATCGGCTTGAGGACCAAAGGGTCCCAGCTCAGTTCTGGTTAAGGGCACATGTGGGCTCAATCCCCAGTGAGGGATTTGCAGGAGGCAGCCAATCAAAGATTCTTTCTCATCATTGATGTTTCTATCTCTTTCTCCCTCTCCCTCTCCCTTCCTCTCTGAAATCAATAAAATATATATTAAATAAAAAAGACTGAAACCTGGGCATGTGCTCTTATGGGCATGTGCTCTGACTGGAAATTGAACTGTTGACTTCTTGGCTCATGGGCTGACCATCAACCACTGAGCCACACCAGCCAGGCAACAAGTTAATTTTATTTATTATTTTTAAAAATATATTTTCTTGATTTTTTTTACAGAGAGGAAGGGAGAGGGATAGAGAGTTAGAAACATCGATGACAGAGAAACATCAATCAGCTGCCTTCTGCACACCCCCCACTGGGGATGTGCCCACAACCAAGGTACATGCCCTTGACTGGAATCCAACCTAGGACCCTTCAGTCCTCAGGCCGACGCTCTATCCACTGAGCCAAACCAGTTAGGCGGTTCTCAACCTGTGGGTCGCGAACAATGAAAATACATCCTGCATATCAGATATTTACATTACGATTCATAACAGTAGCAAAATTACAGTTATGAAGTAGCAATGAAAATAATTTTATGGTTGGGGGTCACCACAACATGAGGAACTGTATTAAAGGGTTGTGGCATTAGGAAGGTTGAGAACCACTGATAGGGCAACAAGTTAATTTTAAAAGAAAAGGAGGGGGTAGTGTTGATAGTAGGCCACAGAATATGATTAGCTAATTCTTTGTGTATTTATAATCTAATTTTTAAAAGGCACAATTTGAAATTATTTTTAAACATACTCTGTAAATCTAAATTAAAAAGTAGAATTTTTCTGAGTAGAGGAAAGATAAAGAAAATTACAAAGGTGATTTAAGGAAAGGATGAAAACCAACAAAGTATAAAGTCCATCCCCAAGGTTGACAAAGAAAATGTTCTAATGAAAACAATAAAAATTGATTACTTTATTTCAAATGTTTTCCCAAGCTTAAATTATACATGTGAAACTGTAAACAAATTTGGGTGTTTTTAATTTTAGAAGATAGGGATATTGTCTTTTATAGAGATCATTAGTTTGTAAAACCAGCATAAAATGCATATATCTACATACCCACATAATAAAATAAAATTGCTCACCACTTTAAATTATATAATTTTTTCTAAATAACTGCAAACTAATCATAAATAATATTTAGACCAATTTGGATAAAAGAGCCAAGGGAGATTTCTGATACATCTTAAGTGACATGTTTTCAAATCCATCTGAAATAAATAACAATGTTGCCATAAATTGTGTACTGTCTGTATAATTCCTGTATTAGCTATCCATTGCTGTGTAACAAATTACCCTTAAGTTTAGCTGCTTAAAGCACCATATACTTATTGTCTCATAGTTTTTTTGGGTTAAGAATTTGGGAGTGGGTTAGCTGTGTGATTCTGGCCGAGGCTCTGGTTAAGATGTAGGCTGGATTTACAATTGTCTGAGGGATTCACTTGGGGCTAGACGCAGTGGTTCTCAATCTTCTGGCCCTTTAAATACAGTTCCTCATGCTGTGACCCAACCATAAAATTATTTTCGTTGCTACTTCATAACTGTAATGTTGCTGCTGTGATGAATTGTCATGTAAATATCTGATATGCAGGATGGTCTTAGGCGACCCCTGTGAAAGGGTCGTTCGACCGCCAAAGGGGTCGCGGCCCACAGGTTGGGAACCGCTGGGCTAGAGGCTCAGTTTCTAAGACAGCGTGCTGACGTGGCTGCTGGCCAGGCCTCAGGTTTTGTCCACAGAGCTGCTTGAGTGTCTTCATGATCAGACAGTTA